CCCCAAAACCCCAAAACCCCAAAACCCCGACAAAGTTCAATAAAGAATCTTGAAAATTTCAAATAATTAGAAGGAGACTTGAACCATATAAATTCTTTCAAAAATAAGAGAATAAACAACTGGAATTTATTTAAATAGCCTTCTATCTCAACACCAAACTTGTCATTGTCACAATTGGGGAAGAATTCTAGAGCTTCACTTGAGTCCCTACAACACGGAGTGACAACCTCAAGGTTTATTATGCCCTTTTGTTTAATAATGAAGAATTTGTAAGCACTTTTTGCTCTTTTAATCACCAAAAAGTAATGGATAATAAACCATCTATATCATATTGCTAAAGTCCCTATTTTCATAAAAAAATAGTTGAAAATTTTTAGGAGTCATATTCAAAATTTCTCTTTCGGCATAAATGTGCTGGCTGCCAGAATTCTATAGCCTACCAAAATAGTATGAGTCATTGGAAAGGAGAGCGCAAACTTGCTCAATTGAACCTTCAACCAAAGTTGCTAGTGGATGAATATTTATACCCTTATGGCATCTTTGTTTTAAGTTTAAGTGGTACTTAGTGTTAGAAAATATAACTACAGTAAAGTTATTTAGGTGACCATCCAAGTCAACCAACTTGAGTTAAAGTGATATGCCCAAGGACACGGAAGAAAGACCCACAATTACAAAGAGAGTTTGGAAGCTAGTTAAACTCTATGTTTAGTTTTTGGATATTAATTTGGCCTTCTTCCATGACATCTTATGCATCTTTTGATTCATATCGGAGTACCCCCTTCCAGGTTATTATGATCTTCTTCGATGATGAAAGAAATTTTAGAGTGAAGAAGAGTTAAGCTCAATGCTATCGGCTTCTCCTTGTAGCCTCTTTTACTCAAAAGTAGTCTAGTTAAAACAAGTTTATGAATGAAGTTGTGAGTGTCAACCTCATGAAGAAACACTTTGAAATAATAACAACCTTATCTTAACTCACAATTGCTGTATAAAGAATGATATACTAGTGCCTACTTAGTTAGCTGACAATCCCAAGCATCTGTTTATCTAAGTTAGATTATTAAGAATTCATCCATTGCTTTGCTCGATGTAAATGTATTTAATATTATCGAACCAGAGCATTAGAGTCAACAGACTACTCAAGATAGCTCGTTTTTGAGACAGAAGGTCGTCTCCTATCTATTAGTATTGACCTTGTACTTATCTAGCTAATAGGATGTGTAAAAGAAAGCTCTCAGCGATATAAATAGCAAGAAGTAGCCATTTTGTACAATCGAGTGAATCTTCAAAATTTAACTATTCCCAAGGGGTTTTGGGGTTTTGGGGTTTTGGGG